TATTGGGCTGAGTAGTACAGTCACTAGCAAATATGCAACTGCATTTTCAGCATTCACAGACAAATCCGCAGTAACAAAAACTAAGGAAGTGGTCATTTCAAAGGAACCGGCACTAGACACAGAAGCAACAGACATTGTCATTCCGGCATCAGCAGGAGTGAGTCCTTCAGAACAAATGACAGAGATTTCTCCATCAGACTCCATTGTAACTAAGGTACCTTTCCAGTTTACTTCAGAAACGTCTGAGGATGGATTAACTCCATCATCCTCAACCGTACCAAGCTCACATGTAACAAAATCAAGCACAACATTAGATGTCATAACGCACGATATAGAAACATCAAGCACTCCATTATCTGAACAACCTGTAAGTACATCATCATTTGCACCAGAATCCAAACTGACAGGACAAACTGTGGGAACAGAAAGACCTACACTCCTTCCAACCACAGATGAAATAGAATCTGCAGTCTCCCTCACGGGGGTAGGAATATCAAGTGAGGAAACTCAAAGGCTTGGAACTGTGGAATCTGATGTGACTAGGTCCACTCCTGAGTCTAGTACATTAAAATCTGAAGCGGAATCTAGGACTGGAGTCCTTCATTTTCCAAGCATGCAAACAACACCATTTTCTACTGAGCAATCTAACGCAACAGATGAAATTCCGCTGACAGCTACTGAGACAGCTATGCATTCCATAAGTGTGTCTGCAAGGACTGGGGTGACTGAAGATTCAAAAAATCACACAATTGGCAGAACTGGGGCACCAACAGCTACAGTTTCAGGAAGTCCACTAACCACAATATATCCATATATTTTCAGTGATATTCTCTCTCTTTTATCACAAACAACATCAATATCTCCCATTACCTCCGTAGTTTACAAAAACCATGAAGAGGAAGAATTTTTTTTACCAAGTCCCATTAGCAGCCAAGCTAAAACCAGTATTGTTGAATCATCCCCTGCCGTAATTGATAATATCGAGGAAATAACATATACTATTATGTCCACTAATGAAGTGCATAAGAAAAATGAATTGTTCTCTGGTGTGACGGAAATCATTGAAGAAGATTTTACAATGTCTAAAACAATGATGAAGGATGCAATCACTACTAATGTGAATACTGTTTTATCAGAAAGTCTATCTTTGTTGCCTAAGGTCTTTAATGAAGAAAATGATGACATAACAACCTTAAATGTCACACCATCCTCACCGTCAACACCAGACATAGCAAAAGGTTTTGACACAGATATAGATTTCCCACCATTGACCCATCATTCATTGAAAAAGTTCATTATTCCTACTAAACAGCCATCAAAATGGGGTACATTGGAGAACATCACAGAGTCTATTACAGCTTCCACTTTTAAAACCACTAGCATACAATCCTCGAAAAAGCCAGTAAAAGCAACACCTATGACAAAAGGAAGCATAATGCACTATGATGACATATATACTTCTGCACTGTTTGAAGCTGGGCTACCTTCAAGTGAATTAATAACCACCCTCAAATCTGAAATAAACTACGGACAAAGACATACCATTGAAGCTTACACAGTAGATATTGCAGGTATTTGATTGCAACTGTCATTGTTAATTGACATAAATTTGAAAGTTGTGAAAATATAGATTGTTTCTACAGTCCTTCAATTGAATAGCTATTAATAATTTGCCAGATTATAGCATAACTATATAGACAATATATATATATATATATATTATGGCATGCCAAACAGGAAATAATAATTGATATATATGGAATGAAAGCCGATATATATATGGAATGAAACCCAGACTATATGGAATGAATGTCGATATATATCAACATTCATTCCATTTATATCAGCTTTCATTCCATATATATCGGGTTATATTCAGAATCGTATGAATTGTATTCAAATCCAAATTCAAATCATCCTGATAATAGATAATTTTTCACTCTTGACAGGTGTTCATTCATGTGCTGAAACAGTTTGCCTGAATGCTGGCACTTGCTACAAAATAGGAAACATCCAGTCATGTATTTGCGCTCCCGGTTATAGCGGCGATCAATGCGAAATAGGTATGTTGAACATGCTGGTTCTTATGATCACCTGACATGAAATATATTCTGTACCCAATAGACAAAAATGGGTATGTACAAACAGGCTGTAATTTTTTAGATTTAAATGGTCCTTTTGAGCTTGAGGCTTCTTCTCTTCTAAATACTGATGTCATTAGTTTATTCTATAATTAATATTAAATATTAATTTTATCCACTGGTTGCATTATTATTAATTAATAATATTTTGGTTCTTTGCACATAGACATTGATGAATGCCAGTCAAATCCATGTCACAATGGAGCCACTTGCCTTGATGGCCTAAACTCCTTTAGGTGTATTTGCCTTCCTACCTACAAAGGAACTCTTTGTGAACAAGGTGAGACCACTTGGCTTTACATTAAATTACTTTTTTTTTAATTGGCTTTTGACAAGCTTCTTATTTTGCTGCTAATTATTTTATCTGTAAATATAGTAAGAATGTACGATCAAGACAAATTTCAGTATTAAATTTAGTATACCAGCAATAATAGGTTTTATTCTTATTTATTGGTTACTTAATATTATTATATTAGCACCTTTAATTATTTATTAGTTTCTGGTTTCTGGTTAATAGGTAGTTTTATAATGTATGCAGATATGTGAATAACATGAATGCATTTGTAATGGCTTTTCAAACTAGTGACCTTCTGCTTAAATTATCATTGAAGATCCTCAATCAGTTTCATGAAGAAATTAAACAAGACTGCAAGTCTTATTATTCATATTACTGCCTCCATGCTTTGTTTTAAATTTGTACACAGGCAGTCCGCAGGTTACAAACAAGGTCCTAAGTCTGTTTTTAATTAGAAAAATAATAAATAATACAGTAAATAGCAATAATAATAATAATAATAATAATAAGTATTAATAGTAGTAGTAGCCGTAGTATACATTAATGATAAAAGTCACTACACAAGGTACTGTACTGTACTGTGCATCGAGCTGACAAACCACTGGAGCTGTGTGATGTCTCAGTAAGAAATCGATTCAAATCAATACTCTAAGACAGGGTTATTCAAATCATGGTCCTCGAGGTCCGAGCACTGCTGGTTTTCCAGCTTTCCTTTACCTGTCAGTCAGGTGTGAAGCCTCTGACCAATCAGAATCAGTAATTGTTAAACTAACTACCTGGGAGATCTGAAAACAAGGCCTGGATTTGGAATCGAGGTCCAGATTTGAAGAACCCTGCTCTATGACTAACAGCATTTAAGGAACATAGACTAGTGTAGGCTAATAGTGATTTTCCCAGAATTATGGTTTTTACGACATTTCTTGAACATTGATAGGAAATCTGATGATTGGATGTGATTTTCCAGTTCAGAGATCCACACATAACAAACATCTTGAGTGAGATTTCTCACGTGGTGGAAGGATCTCTAAGTGGCATTGGTTTTCTGATTGAAGAGGACAAGATAGGGTGTAGGTCTTGAGCAACATCTCCATGGAAATGGATGTCCATTCATTAATGGCTCTGAAAGCCAGCACTAGTGACTTGAACTTGATGCAAACACCTATGGAGAGCCAAAACAAGAGACGATTAGTGGCTTTGGAGCATTTTTAATCCTTATAACATTTTACAGAAGTTTTAGACATGCTACCACATTTGTAATCATCTGCAGTTGTTTGGTAAAACAACATGGTAGTCATTTCAGTCATGGGTGCCGTAAGGGGAAATGTAGGATGATACCAAGGGCCCCTGAGTGACAGGGGCCCTAAAAAAATTGGAAAATAACTGGATCGGTCTGGACTGGGGGCCCCAATATGATATGCTTTCATGGGAACCAAAATCTTTAGCAATGCCCTTGATTCAGTAAAGAGTTGCAATGGTCTGGTGTGAGATGTCAAGTGACGTTGGCGCAGTAGTAGTAGGAAAACCCAAGTGACCAGGTGATCAGCTTTAGAGAACTTTTGTGTATGTGTGTGTGTGTTTTTCCAATGGATTATCTGGAGGTACTGCTGTATTTTACATTGGTGTTACCTTGTTACATATTGTGCTCTACACAAAAAATGGTTTATACAAGATGAACTATCCCTTGAATTTAAAAATTCTGAAGATACTGTGTTTTTCTTTTTCTTCCAGACATTCTATTTTCTATTTTTTCCATGCTTGTAAATGACAGACATATAAAACCATAAAAAGCATTCAGTAGTTTTATACAGGGTACATTCTCTCCAGATACATGATATACATACAGTTCACCCTTCTGCATCATGACTTTTGTTCTTTCAGTAGATCACAGGGTCGAAGAAATTAAATGGGATATTTGGCAACCCTGTTTTGGGAATTTCAGGACACATGACGACCAACAGACTACAGACAAAATGTTTAGTAACTCATAAATGCAGAAAATATATGTATACTGCTGGTTTGGAGGACGCCAAGTGTGTTTATGGCAGCCTCTCACTTGTGCAAATATTATCTGGACTGGGCAGCTGACTGAGGCCTGACAGCAGAGAGCCCTGAGAAGAGTAGCTGCTGCCTTATATTATAGGAGCCCCTAACCTCTGCAATGTGGAAGGGTCCACTTTATTTATAAGGACATATATACTACAACATTATATAATTAAATTATTAAAGTGGGATAATCACTTAGGTTTATCATATATATGGTTCAAATTATAAAACATGTTTAGGGCATTTAAAATTTATTTAAATATAATTTCTCCAGCCAAGCAGTTCAACAACTTTTGTTTTGTGCATTGTGTTTTGTGTAGAAGTAACTTGAAGAGGAATTATGCAATAGTCCTTTTCGAATTGATTGACTTATAATCTGAAGTTATTTCTCTACAAACCAGACATATTACACTGCAAACAAGTGTGATAATTAAATGTAATTATATATAACAAAGTTAGTATTATATTAAAACATTAATTGTTATTCAACTGTCTAATTTCTCTTTAATGGGTCTCTTTAGACACTGAGACATGTGATTACGGCTGGCACAAGTTCCAGGGCAACTGTTACAAATATTTTGTTCATCGGCGTGCTTGGGAAGCAGCAGAGAGAGACTGCCGTGTAATGGGAGCCCATCTCACCAGCATTCTTTCCCAGGAAGAGCAGCTGTTTGTGAATCGTAAGTGCTGTGTCACTGCCTCTTATCAGAGTTACCATGTGTGTAATTAACGAACACTGAGAAAAAAACCTAGATTTCCCCACTTGATTTCCCCTAGCCCCTTTTCCCTTTCTGTTCTTACCCATTCTGCCTAAAATCACAAATATTTTTTATTTACATCATTTATATTTATATCATTCATTCATATATATATATATATATATATACACACACACACACAATTATTTATTTATTTTACAGGTTTGGGAAATAACTACCAATGGATTGGTCTCAATGATAAGATGTTCCAAAACGACTTCCGCTGGACTGATGGCCAACCTATGGTAAAAATCATTTCCAATTTTAAATTAGGATGCTGTCAATTTTTTCCTGTTATTGTAATTTGAAAATGTTCATTATACAGGAGTTTGATTTTGCAATATCCAGAGAGAGCTAACCTTCATTATAGAAGGCATGCAGACATTGTATGTCTATTTTTTAATTTTTTTTGGGGGGGGGGGGCGTTGGCATGACATATGCTCTTCTTCAAGCTCTGTCAATGGCAACCAAGTGAGTTGCTCATAGTTGCCATATTCCTGCCTATAACACATAATTATATCTCACTTCAAAACCAGTTCTTTAATCCACCTATAAATAAAAGGAGGGTTTTAGGTATTGATGCAATGCATTACAACAAGCTAAATGAATCTTAAATAAAAGGAGAGCTACTGTAAAGGCTTAGGCAAGCAGTGAAAACATAAGCATGGGGCTGGACGAGGTGGGGGATTGTGCAGAGATCATTTAAGCAAACATGCAACATATGTCTGATGGAACACTTTTGTGAGGAGCTTTGGGGTTTGTGAATTTTATAAGCCACTGATGTCTAAACAATCTCAAATACAATTTGGGAATGGAAAGGTTACAAACAGGGCCTTTCCTGGCCAAAGACAGTATTCAGTAGAATTCACATTCAATACCAGCACCTTTCAATGGAACAGTATGAAAATCAGTGCAAACAGAGCTGCACATTAAATTATTTAAATATTTTCTTGTCCTATTACAATGTACTATGCCTGTCTTTTTGATGAATTTTGATGCAAAATTCAGAAATGGTTTAGATGAACTGCATCTTCATAATGCATTCATTGGTCATTCTGCGCACCTTCATAAAGTATTTATAATACATTCATAGAACATTCATAAGCAGCATGTAAGTATACCTTAACATCCTAACATACTTTAACAGCTTTATATACATTAATAACAACCATTATATAATAACAAACATCACAATTGTATAATAATGTTTGTTATTAGTGTATTTACATGTTGTTTATTAATATTTTATGAATGCATAATGAAGGTGCACTGAATGTTCTACAAATGCATTATAAGGTGCAGTTTATGTAAAGCATTAAATTTTGTCACAATAAATGAATTCCTAAATATTCTGATATTGTCAGGATTGCGGGCGGCTCGGGGACGGGAGCGAGGCATCAGGCACAAAAAGGGGCGGACGACCCACTGGCGGCTCCGAGAATTCAAAAAACGGGGTTTATTAAACAAAACAGAAAACAGTACAAACACAACAAAACCAAAAAGACCACGAGGGGTCAAAAACTAAAAAGGGATTAATTAACAAAAACTAAATAACAAAAACCGGATACACATCTAACATGAAACACAATCAACAACAGCGCGCACACAATGAACCACTGGGGAACTGAACAGAAGCAGGAACTAAAATACTAAGGGGTAACGAGACTAACACAGGACAGGTGAGGCTAATTAAGAAAGACCAGGGAAATGGGGTGCAGGAGAAACTAATACTCAAAGGAACTAAACAGGGAAACTAAGAACTAACCAAGGAATCAGAACACTGGGGAATTAGACAGGTAAAGACAAGCAGGGGCACAAGGAACAAAACCAAAAACCATATACAAAATCACCAAATACAATAACTAGACAAACTCAACTGAAACACTAGGGAGCAAAATACAAACACAGGACAGAAGGTACAAAGACAACCAGACGCTCAAGGTGTTGAGCCATGAGGTCAACAGAACAGGGGAAACTCAAAGACAAACATGAAGGACGGGATGACCAGCAATGCCTGCTGGCCAAACGGGGAAGGGACACAGAGTGACAACAGGGGCTGACCCTGACAGATATGCAGTCATGAAAATAGGTGTAGACAGTATGGTTCATCATACATCATAATTGTATGTCATAACTAGATCTGTAACTGGATCTGCTTCTGTCAAACATTATTTGGATTGTAATTTATACCGATGAGGCAAAACATTATGACCACCCACATGTGAAGTGAATAATGTTGACTATCTGATTGAGTCTCGCTGCGTATGGGGCAATGTAGCCACAGGCTAGTCAGAGTGCCTATGCTAACCCCTGTCTACAGCCAAAATCGCCTTCAATGGGTATGCGAGCATAGGAACCCGACCTTGTAGCAATGGAAAAAGATTGCTTGGTCCAATGAATCTCATTGTCTGTTGCATCCTGTATACCTTGATATGCACTGTTTCTTATGACAGTCAACATTATTCACTTCACATGGGGGTAATCATATTGTTTTAGGTCATTGCTGTATGTCCCTTAATTCTGTCATTCAATTTTAAGTATTCAAAAATTTGCCTGTAGTGAATAGACCATTATTTTACCAGATGTTTTACACAGATGTACTGTACATTCATTTGGTTTGTTGAAATAAAATATAGTTGTACATAGTAATTGATACTTTATTTATCCCTGTGGGGAAATTGTCTTTATGCCTCCCTCAACTTCCTCTATTTTGTAGAGTAAGCTGTCTGTGAAGGGCAGCCACCTGTAGTGGGGCCCAGGGAGCCAAGAGTTAAGGGCCTTGCTCAAGGAGCCGCAGACATGCTGAGGCTGGGTTTGAACCAGCGACCTTGTAATTACAGGCACACAGGCTTAGCCCAATGACCCACAAACTGCCCCCATACCATCCAAGTATATACAGGGTTGCTTGTTGTTTTTTTGTTTTTTTTTTTACAAAAATGGAATAGTCTTCCTGTTAGTGTAGTGCAAGCTAAAACCCTGGGTTCCATTAAATCAGAGCTAGATAAGATTTTAACTCTGAGCTATTAGTTCTCCCCAAACGAGTTTGATGGGCTGAATGGCCTCCTCTCGTTTGTAAATTTCTTATGATCTTAAGGGAGACCTTTAATTTACCATGCAGAGTGGTATGGAGTCTCAGATTTTTCACCTAGGAAAGGCCAGCTATGTAATGAGCATAACCTCTGCAAGTGACTTGGCAAATATGTACAGTTCTTGCGAACAATCATATGAGACCAAGGATGACATTTACTATGGATCTGAGCCAGCAACCTAAGCCAAAAGCCCTGCACTACACGGCGCCCAGAGAGTGGATGAGGCTGGAGCTTATCCATGTCGTTCTTACTGCCAAAATACTTCTCTAACTTTGTGTATAACTGAAGCATTTTATATAGGCCTACAAACTCAGGAGCTTTTGCAAAGGTGACGTCTTTCTACAAAAATATGCATCTCACTAAAGTGAAGTAGGCTATTATTATTATTATTGGTACTGTAGCTTTTATTTCAGTCATATTTAGGGGCAGACTGGCAACAAAAAACAGCCTGTGGTATATTTCACCACTCTCTGCGGGTGTGTGTGTGTGTGTGTGTGTGTGGGGGGGGGGGGGGGGGGTTTCCAGGGTATATTTTGCCAATCATGATCGCCAATGACATAAAGCATTATCCATTAATCTTCTCCTACGATTGATCTGCGCTCAGCCCTCACAAGACCGACCACTGGGAAAATTTCGGAACTTTCCAAATGTATGTTACTTTTGTTAAAGCAATTAATGTCATTTTGTTGATTGTTCACAGGTTTTTAGATAACTCTTTAGAAAAGCTAAATATGTAAGTTGCTGTTTCATTTTCATTGTTGGAAAAAAATAAACACTTTATTTTTAAACATTTTATACTCCATTATGCTGGAACTGTGACAATAAAACCTTGAGTCACATCGACTTCCTAAATGTGACTTTATTGCCACCATGTGGCACCTGAAGGCATTGCCTGTGCTTAGTCGTTTTCCTTCTCGATTATAACCATGCTTTACCTTAGTTATAGCCTATTTCACATTTCAGTTTAGCCCTTCATCAGTAGAACTTATAAACTAAATTATAAAATAAATGAACAAACAAATAAATCATCCTGAGCAAAAGCAAACTTCTGAATTGTGCAGCAAAACCAGTTTGTATTTATATGTTTACAAGTAAAAATTCAAAAATAAGACCGTTGGCCGAAGTTTTCACACCAAGGTAGCATAGCTTTATGGGCATGAAAAAATAAACCACAATGAAGCTGAGTCTGTATTTTACATGTGCTTAAGAAAAAAAATTTAATTGGTACTATCGACAGAACACCGGTGTGATACCTCCCTCCCCAGTTATCGTTACACCAGTTACAGGTAATCAGCTGGATTGTCACTGGAGCATGGGTCCTTGAGGTACATTTGTGTGCCCCCCTCCCAATCCCCTTCTCCACAGTGATATGTTGTCATCCAGTGCGGGTGAGTTCCTGGGAGATACAAAGCACAGGGTGTTTTTTCACCTGGGAAAGGGTGGAGGAAAATCTGGATGGATTAAAGCTTCCTCTCTTGGAGTCAGAGCAGAACCCATCCACTGAAAAATTGGAGGTAGAGGGTTTTGCTGAGTCCCAGGTGGCACTTGGCAGGGTTACCCATGAGTCCTGTCTGCTGGATGGAGTCTAGGTAGGCCACTGTATAATGTCCATGAGCCTCTGGAAGGTGGTAGCTGATCCATGGATTGCAAAAGTGAGGATGATGCACCTCCAACTGAAAATTGGTGCGCTGAAGAGTACATCCAGGCTAAGGGGTACCTTGGTGAGATAAAGGATGGATATCAATAAGCCCTTCCTAGCAGCTTGATCAGTTCATACATGCGAGGCATAGAGCAGCTCAACACTGCTGCTTGGGTTCAGCGCTAGAAGAGGTTCAGGTTGAAGTAACTGGAATGTAGGAAACAGCAGAAAACCCAACATTTTCATTGAATACAGACCTGATAGAGATGTGTATGTTCAGAAAACAAGATTGAGTTTAAATTTGTTTTTTAAATCAAAAGTTAAAACCTATAAACATATTCCGAAAGCTTAGTACATTAAGGTACTTTGAAAAGGCACTGAATTGCTGTAATGGAATCCAAGTAACCATTCCAGGCAAAACGGGTTTAGAATTTACATAAATTAAAGTTTTTCTCTGGTCAAGAATGTGAAAGGTCAATATATTTGGAAATGACTAAACCGAATTCCTGGAAAACTGAAACTGTTACTTTTAAAATGTCTTTCACATTGCTGACATGCACTCCTGTTCAATTTTCACGTACACAATGGACACTGTGTATGTACCAAATGTAAAAGTTCCAAATGTAAGACTACCAAATGTTGGCTTCACATCTAACATATCCCACAGCTTGACACGCACCACTTTTACAAGTGTACATTAATCACTCTACATGGGGGTGGTCATAATGTTTTGTATAGTGTATAGTCGCACAACCCGGCTGAGGAACAGATTGAGTTGTGATCGAATTTTCCGCATAAGAAATAATGGAAAACCAATTAATTGGTTCCCGGCCCCAAAAAATTACACCTAAATATGTTTTTTTTTAGCATTTAAACACAAAATTAACCGGATAAAACAAGAAGAGCATATACTGTACTAAACACATCTAAGCAAATTTATCAAAACAATAATTTGTAAAGTAAGAAAATAAATGCATCCAAACAATGTGTCCTGCCCCGATCGTCCGCTCCTTCCATGTGCCACGCCCCCTCGTTAACCCCGTGTGGAATCCCCGTGTGATCAGCTGTTCCTGGTTGTTTTCATTAGTTCTGTGTATTTCGTCCGCGTTTCAGTTTGTTTCCCCAGTCCGGTCATTGTATTGTCCGTCTGCGTTTTGCCTGCCTTACCTGTAATTAAACCCTGTATTCCCCGATACCCTGACGTCTGCATCTTTGTCTCCATTCCGTCCCTGCTCGGCACAATCTATTAGAATCTATCTGGCTTTAAAACCAATGTTCCTGATGAACTCATAACAAGCTTGTGTGCTTTACCATATCCTGGGATACACAACAAGAACATAAACAATTACATCCTTCTTTGTTCCATAGTTCCAAAACAAAACATGCAAAATGTAAACATGTAAAAACATGCAAACTATTACATTTGCAGCATGCAAACTACAATGGTTATTGTAGTTATTTATTTTTACATTTTTACCAAAATGTCTTTGGTTATCCAAACATGAACAAAATAATTATTCAGTATTAATGCTGAATAGATGTATTTTTCCATGAATTAAATAAAATCATTTATTTTTTAGCAATATGAAAACTGGAGACCAAATCAGCCTGACAGCTTCTTCACATCTGGTGAGGACTGTGTGGTTATGATCTGGCATGAAGATGGGCAGTGGAATGATGTGCCCTGTAATTATCATCTCACGTTTACCTGCAAGAAGGGAACAGGTATCCGTCACCACTTCCAAACCACTACTGTTGAATGCTCTATCAGGATTTCCTGTGGCCTTTTCATTGCGATATTCAAAACACACGTTTTGATTACAATATGGCACTAAGCCCAAGGACCATTCAAATTTGTACTCTGTAAATGTCTCATTTGATAAAAGTCTATTAATTAGTAATGGGAGTATTATATATTATATTTTAAAAACTCCACAACATGACTCAACATGACTCTTTTGTCCCTCCTCACAGTTGCATGCAGTCAGCCTCCACTTGTGCAAAATGCCCGCACCTTTGGATTTTTAAGACCCCGCTATGAGATCAACTCCCTGGTGCGATACCAGTGCCAAACTGGTTTCATCCAGAGACACCTTCCGACAATCAAGTGTAGGGGAGATGGACAATGGGACAATCCTAAAATCTCCTGCATGATGCGTAAGTATTTAGGTAGCGTTTGAACATATTATGTATGCATCAAAGAAACTAAATCTGTCTATTTCTGTATTTTGTTCAGCATCAACATATCAAAGGACTTACGCACTGCAATATCGGTACAATCTCTACAACAATAACAGGAAGTGGTCCAGTGAACAACTGAAACACCTCCATAACTGGCACAAATAAGAATACAAGAACAGACATTTACATATTTCCTTGGTAATTGTGCATTGTGTCCAAGTAGTAAAAGTGCCTTTTTAACATTGAAACAACTGTTTACAGATGCTTTACACACTAGATGAAATCTTTTTTTTTTTTCCTTTTCAGTACTAAATACTGATTGGTAATGAGAAGGGTAGAATCAGCTGGTCACTGAAATCTCTTTCTGTCTGTGTTGATGGAATTATCTTTATGCTGAGGAATGTCAGTTGTGATTTCTTGCTTTGTAATGGTGTTTATTTGTTATGTGCAACACTGTATATTTCTTGTCTAATATATTTTAGTATAGCGGCTTCCTTAATGACATAACATGTGATTGAAATCTTCCCAAAATATTTTATGGTGGGACTATACAAGCTGCAACACTTGTAAATAGTATACAGTATAATGCTGAATAATGTAAATATATCATATCATTTGTCAGATATCAGTATGAAAACAGACTCCTTTATGAGAGTAAAATTGACAGTTCTTATGCTGTTTACGTACATAGGCTGGAAGCATTGTAGCTTAATCTACAAGCAAGTTATATTGAATATTGTCAATAGATAGACCAAAACATAATCCTATCAGAAATATAAATGAATATATGAGGAGACAACCTCCAATTCTACATCAACTATCCATGACGGGGGTAGCGACAGAAATCACGCTGACGATGAGGGTAAATGATCCTTCTGGAATCTTGTTATATGTGTGACATACCCTGAGATAATAAAGTTTTGGAGTAAAATGGTTTAGGGAAAATGATACTGTAGACTGTGTTGTAATTTCAGCCATGAATGTGATGGTTTTCAAAGACTGCCTGCCTTGTTTATTATTTTATAAAGGCAGCTTTGAACATTTACCTACAGACAGAAAATTAAATTAATTTAGTTTTTTTTTCTTTAAAAAATATTATATATTGATAAATTAACTGAATAAAATTCATATTTTCCTATTGTATTATTTAAATATAGTATGTTTAAAAGTAGATGAATAGATATGAACTGTCTGAATGCTGCAGCCAATAAGAAAGGCAAGATATTTTAGTGAATCCATGAACATTTAAGTTACACATTAAAGTTACAGAAAAGTGTATTTCTTCATTCTTTTGTGTCATGTTTACATGAAAATTTGACCATATTGTTACTATTCTACTAGTATCCTCTACACATAGTAAGTCTTTTAAGCCTTTCAAAGTAATTTTTTGATAAAATCATTTTTTCGTGAATAAATTTTAAAAAGATATGAATAGAATGTACTTATTAAAAAAAACCCTGAAAGACTTGAAAAATACATTTAATAAGACATCTAATTTATTAATGAGTGGGATGTGTTTCCTTTCATTAAATGAAAAAATATTATTGATAAAAAAAGTTTTCCATTTGCAGTGTTAATGAGACAAAAGAAACATTAAGTGATAAAATACCAGCAATACAATAAAATCAATACAATTAAAAACTTGTTTTGATACTGTATTTAACCCTATGGAGAATCTTTGATTAAAAAATTACTTGTTTTAACTGTTACTGTGTTTTGACTAAATGAAATATTTTGTATTATATTGTTTATGCATACGTTGTTAATTTCTGTCCATCCATGTTACAGTCTTCCAACGGCATTATGATGTTAAAATAGCAATGACTCCACATTGCAATACTGTACATCATAAAAGCCCAGAACTGTACAAATAATTGAAGTAATATAGTGCTCTTCGTGCACCACTTGGTGGTGGTAGTGGCACAGGACAGGCATAAGCAATTTAATTCTTTATTAGGAACAACTAAATTTTGCCTCCAGAAATTTACCTCCATCAGATATACACTATATGGCCAAAAGTATGTGGACACCAGCTTGTCCAGCATCTCATTACAAAACCAAGGTTATACAGTTTTTCTCAGTTTCTTTGGAGCATTTCTAAAAACAGTTTATGCATATGGCACTACACTGTGGTTTAGCTGCATACACTACACTGTGGTTTAGCTGCATACACTACACTGTGGTTTAGCTGCATACACTACACTGTGGTTTAGCTGCATAAGTCTGTAACTTACTCCAGTTTCCCCCCAAAGTCCAAAAACATGCTGAGGCTAATTGGAGTTATCAAATTTCCCGTAGGTGTGTATGTGTGAGTGAATGGTGTGTGAGTGTGCCCTGCAATAGGTTGGCGCCTCATCCTAGGTTGTTCACTGCCTTGTGCCCATAGCTTCCGGGATAGGCTCTGAACCCCCCCATGACCCTGAATAGGACAGAAAATGGATGGACGGATGATGAATGGATGAACATCAGTTTCAACATTGTAAGGCTCTACATTACAGTATGTAAAGTTCTCTGGCAAGAGAATGCACTTGTATGTACATGTAACTTCTTCAGATCTCAAGATACAGTACAATAGTAAACAAAATAGTCATACAGCACTGTATAACACAAACACAACAAAATGGCAATACAATAACAAAAAAAATGACAACATGGTGGGACCCAAAAACTAAACAAGGCCGTATCACTGCAATTTATAGAATATATCTGTCACGTGCTGACTGCCATGTCCACCTGACCCTCCTGTCTCCTCCCTAGTGTGACCCTAACAAGCAACACATGTTACTCATTTTCCTTACCTCCCATTCCTAACCCTCCTGTTAATCATTCCCAGCTACTGTACCTCTCATTAATGTTCTTGTTAGTCTTGTATATACATGCTTCCCAGTCCTGTGTTCCTCCGTCCAGTCATTGATGTCGAACCTCCCTATTGCCAATCCTCCTGTTTTGATCCCTCGTGGTCCAGTTTGTTTCCAGTCTGTTCCTTTAGTTCAAATAAACCCCCTTTTGTTTTATTACAACACCTGCCCTTGAGTCCTTCGTCCCTTAAGTCGTGACAATATCTTTTGCGCAGCTTGGTTAACTGTTTTGCATGTGGTGGCGAACACAATGATCACACACATACATAGTATTGGGCATTTAATTATTACAATGGGAAACTACATAATCTATTTTGACCAGCAAGACTAAAGAAACTGAAAATTGTGCCAAATGATGACTCAAAAAATAGGCTCAACAAATGGTTTAGCGACTATCTCCAGGAGCCTGTCATGCTACACATTTCTACATGCACACTTTCCCTTGCGTTTAGCCACCTACTTCAACCTGAACTGCCAGTCCACACACCTCGATAGCTCGAGGACAACCCGCTGAAGGACGGGTTTGGAGGAGCCCCATGAAACCGATGACCTTGATGAACATCCTGCCATGCAGATTGCCCCACTAATGCCAACCCTGTACTGGGTAAAGCACCGGGATGGAGACGAGAGATCATGGGGCCAATCCTGGTGCGGAGAGCAGAGTCTCGCAGACCAGTGACCAAATTTAATTATTACAATGGGAAACCATACATAATCTATTTTGACCAGCAAGACTAAAGAAACTAAAAATTATGCCAAATGATGACAATTGTACAGAACCTTTTGCACATATGTAGTAAAATATATGGAAATTTGTGTGAACCAATGAGAAATGATTGATTATGGTGTGGAGATTTTGTCATGCCCCGCTCGCCCGATCCTCCAGTGTGCCACGCCCCCTCATCTACCCTGTGTGGAATCCCTGTGTTTACCAGCTGTTTCTTGTTGCTGTTAATTAGTCCTACATATTGAAGTCTGCGTTAGGTATGTTTTCCCCAGTCCGGTCATTGATGTTGCATGTCTCCAGTGTCTTGTGTGGGATTGATTCCTAATAAACCCCGTATTCCCTGATTCTCTGTCTCCCCGCTCCTGCTTACCCAGTCCACGTTGTGGCAGATTTCACTTGTTGTTTTGCATTTCAGAAATGCTCCAAAGCAATCGATAAAAATGGTAAATAATGTTTGGCAATGAGAAGGGTAGAATCAGCTGATCACTGAAATCTCTGTCTACCTGTGTTAATACAATGATCTTTTATGTGATTTCTCTTGGTAATGTTCTTTTCTGACTGTGGTAAGTGTCAAAAAACAAGCAAAAAAAGAATATGAAATCAAATGTAGCACCTATCTAGATCTCATTCACTCTGCAATGCTACTGCCACTGCAATCAAAATTCAGCACATCTTAATCATTCAGTCTCTGTCACATTTTCTTTTTAGATACTTTAATTTAATTATTCTTTTATGATAAATGCCCATGTGACAGATCAAATGGAGTCTTGCCTATGGAGCATCCAGCACCCTAAAGCCCTGTTTCCACAACAAAAATGCAAAGCTTTTTTTAGTTCTCCACTACATGTCTTCTTCCTTGCCAATTTATTTTCTTTAAAAATAGAATGACTCATTGTCAGGATATGCTGATTTTTTTGCAAGTTACAGAAATGTTGAATTTCATTTTCTGTGCTTGAATGCATAACTCCAGCATGCTAAGAGTGTAAAGTTGTAAACTTTGAATTTAATTTTCTGATTCAGTGGGGAAATAAGACTCTGGAAAGAGTGTGACTCACAATGTTTTTTTTTTCTGTTTTCTAATGCAACACATCTGTGAGCATTGAGCCTTTAGGCTTCAGCTGTTCCAATAGTACTTAAAGACTGAGAGCAGTTCCTGCTTCTTCAAAAATAAGCAACAGACAGAGAATAAACTTGCCACAACTGGAGCTGTGAGCAGTACTGATCAGGAAGTGTGAAGATACAAGATGTTTTTTCACACTTATATATGAAACTGTGTGCTGGATCTGCTGGAAATCTACGTGTGTGGTATATAGTTGACCTTGCATATGGCATGTGTAACCAAGAACAGGGCGCTGTGTGTCTGTTCAGCTGCATCACCTGTGAGATGGAAGATCTTTGCTTACCGTATTCCAGCTGGGAGATGTATGGGGAGAAGACATTTATTTACACAAAATGGACTGCATGGGGGGTCATGAGAGTTTATTGACAATAGGATTGGAATCCAATAGATTTGGGTATCTTGAGATGACACCACTGAATATTATGAGTTAGATATATTGGATAAGAGAAAGGGGAAGCAAGTCAAAATTAATTCTGATTTCATATCACTCTTCCATGGTGATACCTTTAAAAGTTATTCAGGAGCACAGTAACAATCCATACCCATTCACTTATCATGATCACTAGTACATGGTCACTGTAAGTAGAGGACACAAGGCAGGAAATGCCAGTGCAATAGCTCAGTTTTTAGTGAGGAAACATCTTCTTGGAAGAAATTTAGACAATAAAAGTATTCATTAAAGGAAATAAAAAAAATTCTTGGATAATAGCATTTACAAAGACACTTCACCTGATCTTCTGTTCTCAGTGTTCTGCAGCATCACTGTAACAGTAACTAGTTGCCATATTTTAGTACAGCAAATTATATCTGACTTTTATGCAACAACATAATTGTGTGGCCAAAAAATACGGGACGAATAGCATCCCATACTGGTTAAGAATAGGACACAGCATTTCAATTTTTACATTTTTTTCAATATGGGAAGATAATATATGGGATGGATGGACAACTCTGATCCATGGGCATCATTAGGCCCGATCACTATAGCCCTGAGTATTTTAAGCCTATCCCAGAGTATTTTAGCCCCAATGCCAGTTGTTCTTCAATGAAATAAAATAAAAGTCAAGCTTGACTTAGCCCCTGATTTTTTTCAATAGTTAGGAATTCCCTTGCTCTTATTTTGACAGACTTAACTGCACAATTGCACTGACATGTTCCTTTTGCAGAATAATAATCCATCCTTCCATCCATTTTCTATAACCATTTGTCCTTTTCAGAATCGCAGGGTGTTCGGAACCTGTTTGATAACTCAAATCTACCTTAACAGATTTTTTGACTATGGGGGTAAATAATAATAATAAAAATAATTGTAACAAAAACTGAATAGTCTTATTTACATTATATGCATGACATTAGCTACAGTGAACAAGAACAATATTTACCAATCAAATAATTTAAAAATAAAACTCTTGGCTCTTTCATTCATAGCATATCAATGTCTTGTCCACAAACCAACAAGTATGTTTATTGTGCTTGACTGCTGAACTCACATTTTGAATGGTTAAATGTGTGTCAATCATCTTTGAGTTAAGAACACTCAAAGGGTTTAAAAATGCATCATATGCCATAACTATCCAATGAACTACTTAATATAACGTGATGGGTGATGAGAAATACATTGAAATCTACTACCTTAGTGAGGCAGAAAAAGCTTTGACAAGAAAATACCTTGCATTTTAACCTGTTCATTGCAAATGAAGTAGAGTTAGCATATAAATATTAAAATGCATTATATTTTGTTTTTATTTCAGCGCAAATGCACATAAAATAAGTATGCACTGTTACCACTTTCAATTGTCGCACATATCATTTTTAAAGGTGAATGCGTACTTGTGTATCAGTTATGTCCATCCTTGCTCACAAGAATGATTTGTAGCTAAAATTGCTCTATTAGGACTTTCACATGCAATTTAGTAAGCAAAATTAGTAAGTAAAATTATCTCAACTGCTTTGAGCTATTTTTCAAATCTCCTCACTAACCATTTAAGATGATAAATGTGTAAAGCCGTGAGCATTGTAGGACCCTGCAACTCTATCAAGTCTGTGCTGCTTCTCAGCCCAAGGGGAGAACCGTTAATTTGCACTGAAAACAGGGCTCAGGCCATCAGACCCCCATACCAGTGATCACACTGTGCCAGAAAGAGCCTGCAGGCACAGCCTGTGGACTCACTGACCAGAAATCCATCCTTCCCTCTCCCCTTCTTCTTCTCCTCTGCCCCTGTCCCAGGTCACAGAAAGTTTACATAGAATGCCTGAACATGAGAAACATCAGGCAAGGTTAATGCAAGCAATGCACATACTCATGTTTGGTCTTTGGCCACAGTGAGATGGGTAACATGGTCTCAGTCTCAAAAGAGTACGCCTTAATATTGTGAACATACAGAAGGTTAGGTAAATTCCATCATTGCAAAAGACTCTGTGGTGCCTCTGTGGTGAACAAAGAACCTTAACAACCCCACCTGTAAAGTTTCAGTTGGCTGAGACTGGGATACTGATTACACAGTAATCCATAAGTATACTGATGCTCCTTGCATTATAATAGTTTGACTTAGAATATTTCAACTTTAGGAGGGTGGAATAGTTATACACTGTCAGTACAGTAGTCATCAAACTATGAATTTTGATCTGTTCCTGGGCTAGCAATATGCCATATGATACTGTCTACTTATGCCAAGCGATGGTAACATCCATCTGGTCATGCTTCCAGTCTGTGTAACAATCTCATACAGTGTTTAACAACAGATCATACAATGTTTTTTCTGTTTGATCAAACAGTACTGCACATTTAATAATGGGATAAACTTATTTGGGTGTAACATAGTGTGTTTCACCCAAGTAAATGTTTTCCTGTTGTTCTGCATCACTTATCTGCATCCATCCCAAAATTAAAATCCTACTTCCTTCCTCACGTTCCCTGTACCAAACATTCCATCTGAATTACTGTATACTCCTCTCACATATTCCCCTGCCTTAAATCTAATATGTGTATTTTTCAAGCACTTAAAGAGAGAGAGACACAAATACATGCAAACACACATATGGACAGAAATGCATAACAATGTTTTTTCGTTTGAACTTTGCTTTACTAAAGTTCCTTTTATCAAAATGTGTGGTGCTGTTTTGCACAATGTCAGACATTTTCTGAACCTCCGCACTGTTTTGGTGTCACACAGAAATGGTTGTCATGATGATACATTGGCATTAAAAGGATATTTTATGCAATATAAATGTTTTTTTTTTTCATTCCTTCTTTTTTCATCTGTTGTCTTAAAGAAACCTAAGAGGAAATATACCGACAGTTTATAGTTTCTGCCTTTCAAAGTCATTTTTGCTGAAATTCTGCAAAAACAAAATTAGTACATAAATAAAATACTCAGATTATTTAACAATTCAATTGCTTGAAGAATTTAAAAACTGGACAGTGTGGCTTCACACATGCAGGGTTTGAACTTTCCATTCCTGGTTTTGTGTGTGTGGAGTTTTTATATCCTCACTGTGTTTGTTTAGTTGTTTAGTCAATTGGTTAAACTGCCAATTTTGTATCATGTTTAGGGTGTCCCTTGACTTTTGTCCTGTGCTTCTTGGGGTAGGATCCTGTCACACACTGAGATCCAATGTTGTGCTTATGGCAGATGCATAAGTAGAATGATTTGAAAAATAGTCTAGCTTCCAGAGCACAATATACTAACCACATCTGGATAAAGGAACAAAAACCACTAGTACACAGGGAAATGTTTTTAAAATACATGCATAAAAACAAATAAATCTGGTCAGTTGAAAAATGAAAAAATGTGGATATTTCAATAGCTTCTAAACAATATTTGGAAGAAAACCTTTGCAAAGTCCATACATCCATTTTCTGTAACATTTTCTGTATTTAGGGTCACGGGGGTCTGGGACCTACGTACCTTAGCAAAGTAAAGCATAAAAGCTGAAAGGTGAGCAAAAAATGATGATTTACAAATTCGTTATATTTTGTATCAACATTTTATTTGAACTTTTTAAGTTTGGTACAAGGAATAGTTCCATGAAAAATAATTAATAAAAAGAAAAAAAAATACCAACATTTTCAAAAGGACAGGACTTAATACATAAAAAGGCAAGTTATGACCTGCACAGTATTCCATTGCAACTTTTTAATGTTTTAAATGAATTGTTTATTCTGTACTAAAAACAGACTCATCCATCTTTCAGTCATTTTCATTCGCTGCTTGTGCTACTGTATACAGGATCACCAAACCCTCACAGGCAAAACACATCATTCATGCAGACATTCACACCTACGGACAACTTGGCAACTCCAATTCACCTCAGCTGGTATTTCAACTAACTTGCATGTTCTCATAGCCGTTTTATGCGCAAACAGGCTAAGACTGTCACAAATAGTGTCACACAGTTTTGAATTTCTTATTCTTGCCCATTTGCATTAAAACTATTAGGTAAATTAATCTGCAAATTAAACTTCACCACTGTAAAATTTATAAGAATAAACAGTGAATTGCTTTATGTTTACAGAAACTGAATATAGAATAAAAAAAATCTATTAAAAAAGGATTATCACAGTTAGAGTTCACGCTAGTTAAAGTATTTGTAGTGAAAACATCAATTAATTCTTGACTGCCGTTTCGCTCTCAGTTGAGGGCCTTGAAGCAGTAAACACCGTACAACTTGTGCTTTTTCTCAGGAAAGCCAACAAAACGCACAGCAGCCTCAGTGGGGCTGCAGTATTTCCGTGGCTTTGAGATGGGGTAGCGTACACTGCCATCAGCAAGCCAGCCAGCATCACAGCGATCATACCCCCCTATTTTCCAGGCAGCATATATCTGCCCCACCTTAGCAATCTCAGAACCATCCTTCTTGCAAGCCTTCACAGCCTCATCATATGTTAGCTTGCTTGCCTGAGTCAGGAAGTAGAAGTGCCCTTTGGGAGAGAGGAAAAAAAAAACAATTTTGTATTTAAAGATCTAAAAATGTTGCATATTAATAAAATGAATGCTAGTAACACCCTTCCTTTTCCAAACCACTTATCCAATGTAGTGTTGCAGGAGATAGGGGTGGGTGAGTGGGGGGGTGTCTTGGGCATGTGACACAAGGAGAACATGTAAAATCCAATCTGAGTGAGGGGCTGGATTTGAACCCCTAACCATAAAATAAATTTATCATCATTTGAGCTCATACAACAAGTTGTGAGGCAATGATGTCAGGTAACAGTTCCACATAAGTGACCATGACACCTATTTTTATTATTGTTGATGATAATAATAATAATGTAGTGATTGACAATTGTGTCATTAATAATCGCAGTTCATGAGATCAAAGTCACGTCACGACCCTATTATGCTGAATAACATTATAGAAATTTCACAAAAAATGTCTTTAGTATATGTACATTAGTATGTGTACATTCAGTGTTGATCTGACCTTTATAGTCTGAGGTGAAGCAGAAAACATCATAGTGGTTGCTATGCTTATTCTGTGATCCATAATTTCTCATGCCTGCAGCTGCATTCTTGCCACCGCATGGTTCCCTGGGAACAGCAATGGGGTATTGCACAGAACCATCACTGAGCCAGCCAGCGTTACACCAGTCAAAGCCTTCTCTCCAAGCACTGTACAGCTGGGCAGTGGATGCCATAATTGCATCCTGTCGCAGGCAAGCTGTCTCTGCATCATAGAAATTCAGGTTGTAGCGTCCCAGACGAGGGGAATATGGGAACACAACACCTATTGTTCGAAGAAATAAGTGAATATGATTATTGAACCATTTAAAAGAGACATTAAAAGAAAATAAAAACCAAAATATGAATTTAGAGTAATTAAGGAAGATTTGGAAACAAATTCTGCACAAATTAAAAAAAAGAAAGAAATTATTTAAAAATTCATATATATTGATCTATTGGGTATTTAGCTTCTGGTATCATAACATATGCATATACCAGCTTTACCTAATACTGCTTTCGTGTGGAAATAATTAAGTTGCACAAGTTTATATTTAGTAGTTGAGATATGTAATTACATAACAATAAATGGAAACATTCAAATTATTATATATGGCATATACAGGTAAGGAGCACACACTGATTACAGTGTGTTGCACTGCAATAACAGCAGGATGAGAACCTGAGTGCAGCCATGCAGTGGGTGATACCTCAGGACCACACCAATCTGAATGGGCCAGTGTGAGTTTTTTTTCCAGTGGCTGGAGTGCCAATCCTGCCACCAACCCCCAAATTTCTCTGTAAGTTGGAGGACCTCCTTATAGGGCTGGATGTAGATTCATGTCATACCCAGAATGAAGCAATTGCAAGTTAAAGGCCTTGCTCAAGGGCCCAATGGAGTAGGATCACTCCTGGCATTCATAGGATTCAAACCAGCAAACTTCTGATTACTGGAACAAATCCCTAGCCTAAGAGTCACCAATCCACCCACCATATTGCATATGCAGCACTGGAAAAAAATTGAGACCACTATTATTTTTTTGAATCTGCATTTTAAAATCCTGGTTTAATCTTTGTTCTGCTGGCAGAAGGCTACGCTGAGCAGCAGGTTGCTTCCAGGTTCAAAGTTTCTAAAACAGCAGCACACAAGAACAAGGTGAAGCAGGACACACTGGCAATGACCAAAAGCCAGCCAGATAGAGGGCAGAAGCAACTTTCTAATGCCAGAGATGACCATCAACTTATCCGGTAGTGCCTCATAAATTGATGGATGATCCCAAGTGACCTTCGAATGGGAAACATTAAGTGGTGTGAAATGCACTGCTAGGACAATTCTTAACAGGTTACTAGAAGCAGAATGAAGCCCTTCATCAGTGAGAAGCAGGGAAGAGCCTGGCTGGAGTTTGCAAAAAAAATGTATATTTACACAGGCAAGAAATCTAAATTGAGAAATGTGTGAAACTGAAAATTTTGCTGTGGTCTCATTTTTCCAGAGCTGTATATTGTATTATGTGTTCTTATTTGTGTTCCAGTGGATTGGTACATAATGGCTATGCTGTAAGAGTGCCTGGTATTGTTGTAAATAAACATGACAAAGTTATCTATGGAGCAATGATGTCACAGTCTCGAGGCAATAAGTAAATGGACAGAGATGGCAAAGGAATTTCTTTTTCCCAAGAAAGCCATTCTACAAATCCTAGCACCACAATCATTAAACAGAAGCACATGAAGGAACACTCACAGATACTGCCACAGATCATGAATGCAGGAACAGTGATTAAATAACATTTTATAAACTACAAAAAATGATAAATTAATGTTATGGATTTTAATTTCCTAATTCACACTGTCTTATTGTGCTGATCTGTTTGCATTTCACTAATCTTTCCAGGAAACATTCTACCTGTACTGTGCTGCTTCAGCCAAATAAGCAAGGGACGTCTAGCTGGGGGAAACAAGAGAAACTATGCTACCAAATTAACCTTCACAGATAATAATTAAGAAATGGTGAAAACAATAATTCTTGGACAGCCCTTACGTTTCTGGTTAAAGGGCATTTGTCTGTCATGAATGTCAACCATGTTTAACATTACTGCCAAAGATAAAAAGGAGGTGAGACACTACCAATTTAAGTACAGTAATTGGTAGTATAATGGTTCATTTAGTGTGTGGAAAATTCCCTGATTTACGTGTGTCAGTATTCTTTGTATAGCTCACTTTTGTGCATCAGCAATTTACTGATATGGTTATTTGTATCTGCCTCAAGTATGCAACTGCATTCTCTTTACCAAGAAGCAATCTTGGCACACTACTCTGCTTACCTTGCAGCTCCAAAGTGATAATTCCAGCACCATCATCCATGCCGTCGATGATCTCACATTTGTACACGCCAGTGTCATGGAGTGTGACATTAGTGATGACCAGTGAGGCGTCATTCTCATCGGCTTCTTTCAGGTACACGCGGTCGTGGAAGCTGCCGAAAGACTTCTTGTAGATGCCCATGGACACCAGCACATCCACCTCATCCGAGTGGTCCAACGAAAGCTTGGACCATCTGATTCTCACTTCGCCAGTGGCAAAGAAGTCATGTGGACTGCCTTGTAACCTGCAGGGTAGAGTGGCATTGCTGCCCCGCCGAGTGACCACTGTGGTCTCCTGTGTATGCACAGACAGGCGAGAGCCATTTTCTGAAATCAAGAAATAATATTTTGTTATTGTCAAACCTAAATTAAAACCTTATTCAAACCTAACTCATGAGAGTTAACTTACAACTTGACCAGCTAAGCCTAAAATTAGTAGAAAATAAGGGGTATAAATCTAGTTGGGTAATTGCTAAAAGTTTTTACAAGTTTCTAAAAGTGCTTACAATGGCGTGGTCTGCCATCTCACTTAAAAGCATCTTTTTTGGCTTGTCAGATTGCACTTTAACTCTAAAGTAAAAAAAAAAAGTTGAAACTTGTTTTGAACCATTTATTTGTCATCTGTAGTTTGATTTTGAATAGGGGAGGGGAAATCGATTAAAATTGAAAATCGGATTTATTATGGAAAAAAAAAGATTTTATTTTTAGGACATATCGCCCAGCTCTAGCCTGGAATACATCTGCCAAGGCCCCTGCCTTCAACTGCCACCTGATCTACAATGCACCAGACCCTTATGGCTCCTCCAGCAGGTGGAGAAGTGAATTACGTACTAGAATGTGATGTTTTGTTGATATTATATATTCCCAGGAACCGTCTTCCTGCCTACCTTGGGGAGATTAGAACGTTCCAATTGAACAACCTCACTTTACAAAAATCATCAGGTGGAGGCTCAGTCTGGTACATGTAACACCTCATGAAAACCACACTAAGTGTTATGAATGAATAAATGAATGTTACATTTATATGGTGCTTTTTAAGACTCCCAAAGCATTTTACAGAACCAATGAGGAGCCACTCGAACCACCACTGTGTAGCACCCACCTGGATGATGCGACGCCAGCTCAAGTAATGATTATCCACCTATCATCCACTTTCTAATCTGTTATCCGTGGTCAGGGTTGTGGGGGGCCTGGAGCCTATCCCAGGCAGCATAGGGCACAAGGATGGAGTATATAGTTTGAAACTGGAAATTAGTGTATCAAGATCTGACTTCTACAGTCAGACATCTACAGCAGTTCTACAGGCAAGATTGGAATAAATGAAACCACAACAAAAACAAGCGGTGGAATGTACTTCTCCTAGACGTCCGAACAGCTGAGTCATTGAGTGCCTTCAAACAGCGGCTAAAAGCCTACCTCTTTCGGAAGTACTTGGATTAGCACTTCCAGGATTATACTCTTGTAAAAAAAAATACTTGCCAACAGGGTTTTTAGAGTGTTAATATTCTTAGCCGGGTTCTATTGAACCAGTATCAGAATGTATTCACTAATGAAACCTCTAAACACTTATGCAAGCCACTCTGGTTAATGGTGTCTGCCAAATGACGTAAATTTAAGTGTAAACAAAAAACACAAGAGTATCAAATATATTAATATTTAAGCTTTACTGCCCCAAAATCAAAAAAATATTCTAATATACCACCTGGGATTGCTTTTAGTCAAACTATGTTTTAACCTAACCTGTTTTTATTAAGAGTTGTGAACATGAGAGTTGGCAGTGTAGAACTTTATCCTTTCACATCAACTCTGCAGTGCACTGTGACAGTGTGGCACACATCATTCGACAGAAAATCAAATACAAACATGTATATGCAAAATATATAAATAAAAACATAATCTAGTGTTATACAGGCTTCTCATTGGCTCCCTGTGGGCCACTACTAGCTCGTGGTCAACATGTTGTCACCCACAGATTTAGAAAATTACCTTTTTATATGGAACCTACCCAACGTGTGCTCAGTGCACCCTAGATAGTTTCAGTAAGGAGAAGTGAGATCTGTTTCTAGTTTGCACAGTAAATTATTTACTGACCCTTTACAGCAGTTAATCCCCTAAACCAGGGGTGTCAAACTGCAGTCCTGGAGGACCAGAGCCCCGTGTAGCTTAATTCTTTCCCTGTTCCACCACAAATGATTCAGCTCAAGAGCTGTGTGTTAATTAGCACAAGGAGTTGAATCAGGTGTGTTAAATGAGGGGAAACCCAAAAATGTGCAGGGCTCCGGCCCTCCAGGACTGGAGTTTGACACTTGTGCACTAAACGATTCAATATTTTAGGCTTGTCCTCATGAAGAATAATTTTCATATGTCTCTTTAAGATAAGTAACCATTGCGAAGCATTAAGCATCATTTTCTATGGGCTGGAGGTGGCACACAGACACGTACACACTCATGTTTGTACATTCATTTGGGCATAACCTTAATCCCAACCAGTGATAATTTTGGCAAGAATTTTTAATTTAGTTTTAGTCACTTATGGTAGTTGGGTATGACGCATTTGACATCACTTGGATATGACGTTAAACTGCATCCGGCCCTGCAACAGGTCCTCCACCTTGCAGGGATAAAATTTTTGGGGTTGGTGGCGGGATTGGCACTCCACCCACCGTAAAACAACTCATAACAGCTTGGAATAAACAGACACGATACCCTTCTGTAGCTCTGCTGCAGCTGCCCACAGGAAGGCTGAACACACCATGAAAGGGATGGGGGAAAGCCTTTACGAGACTCATCCCTGGAAGAGTTGAAACCATTGGAGAGCTAATAGAGTCAGGCTTATTAGGGATTGGGGCTGGTGTGGTGCTGAGGTGTCGCCTGCTGCATTGCGGCCCATCCGGATGAGTGTGTGGAACATCTTGTCTCTCTGGCAAGATGACCATCTTTCTCTGCTGTCAGGGGAGCTTAGTAAACTCCGCATTTTAATGGCAGCAATCTCTGAGGAATGCAGACCTGGGAGTGGGTGGGTATACCTACTTTCGGTCTGGTCGGTCTGGTGACTGCCATAATCAGAGAGTAGCTGTTGCTGTAGTGGATCGGCTTGGTGGTTGATGGGTGTCCATTAGGTGACACTACTCTGGTCATAGGTGAGTCAGTCCCCATGGGTCTGAAGACCGGGGTGAGAGACTCCATGTTCCTTGACTTTGCGATAGATCAAGGGCTGTGGGTCAACGGACCCATGGTTCCAACATCCTGAACCGCATCGCTGAGCTTGGTACTACAATACTGGGGGTGCGGCAAAGGAGATCGATCACATCCTCATGGGTAGATGCTCGAGGCTCCTCCAGAACTGCAGGGTCTACAGAAGTGCCCAGTTTGTGAATTCTGACCACAGACTTCCGTGATAAGACCCTAAAGGGTGATCGCCTGGATTGCGGCAACTACAGGGGGATAACACTACTTTCAGTGCCGGGTAAAGTCCTTGCTAGGGTCATCCGTGATTACTTGCTCACCTGTTAGCGACCGGAGCAGTCTAGTTTTACGCCTAAGAAGTCAACTATCAGTCGTATCCTGGCATGGAGGATTCTCATCGAGTGCAAGCACAAATATCGGTAGAGGTTCTTTGCAGCCTTTGTCGATTTTCGTAAAGTTTTTGACTTGGTTGATTGAGTTACCCTGTGGGACATCCTGAGACTTTGCGGGATCCCCCCGAAGTTGCTGCACGTCGTGGCCGGCTTGTACACTGGTACTGTGAGTGCTGTGCAGAGTGGAAGGAGAACATCCACGTTCTTCCCCGTTGATTCTGGGATTCGCCAGGGGTGTGTTCTTGCTCCTACTCTGTTCAATGCTTGTATGGACTGGGTGTTGGACAGGGTTGTGGGGTCCGGCAACTTTGGGGCATCCACTCGTAAAGAAAGATTTACTGTGCTCACGTAACACCTGGCTGTGGCAGTTGGATGGCCATTTCCGGAGTGTGGGTTGCCACCTGGGACCCCGAGGAGTTCCTCCATGTGATGGGTGCAGCAATGCGCTGCATCAGCACATGCTCCCCAACCTTACCTGACCTGACCGTAGTCACTTACTGAAAATTGTAGTGGGATCAAAGTCACATTTTAGTCTTTTCTTTTTTGTTTTGTTTTAGTTAAGGTTTAGTCAATGGAACTCAGGTTTAATTTTAGTCATAATTTTCTCAGGCAGGTTCATGATACTGAAATAGATTTTGGTGAAGGATATTTCTCCTGCCTGTAAAGATTCCCTTGAGAAGTAAGCATACCTTATACATAAGCACACCTGATGACACTTAAGTTATCTAGGCTGAGCATGTGTTACTGACTTACCATACTTCTTTCATATATAAATATGAATGCCTAAAACCTGTTAGAAAATGTGCAATACAATCATATTTCCTTCACAGGTCGTATTTATTTTCTGCTTATATCAACAACACAACCTTATACCTTTCCCTGTTTCATTTTTGTTATTAGGACATTAAAACACTCATCGAAATTTAAGTGTATGCCCATTTCATATTGTAATAATTTTTGTTATTAGGGCATCAAAACACCTATCAAACACCCATTTAACTGTGTGCAAAACCTGTCTTCACAATTTACACTAACCCTTCTTCAAAAACAGAAAGCACATAATACAGTAAAATTGCTGAAACAACAAAAAAGGGACAATAGTGTGTCATTTAGGACTAAGCATTAAGCTTGTGTCTTTCCTTCTCTTTTCTAGATACAGGTTACTTATCTCGGTTTAGTTTCATGAAGGCAATTCTGTCCAAGATGACCTGTGCACACTTGTGTGTGTGTGTGTGGATTAGGTTTATATTACATTATGGGGGACATAAACCTGTTTTTTTGACATTGTGGAGACCATTTTTCAGGTCCCCACAAAGATCTGTGAATGCAACCAAAAGAGAGTCCCTGCAAAGATATAATTACAAACCTGTGTGTGTGTTTGTGTGTGTGTGTGTATACTGTATGTATGTGTCCCTGAGCACTAAGAATAGTTTCTAAACAAACTGAACTTTTTACATGTTTTTAAGTTTCTCCCTCAGGTTTCGCCTCATATCGTGTCTAACACTATCATTGGCTGTGGCTAGTCGCTGCCCTCATTGCCAGTCCCAGCATCTTTCACACCTACAGGATTTGGTGTCGCCGACAAGTCCAGATATGTAGCATGCTAGATATCTGCTGGGAGCTCCACGACACATCGATCACTTCATCGAGTCACGTCGTGAACAATTTACACATAGCGATCGAGAGCCTATGTGCCAGCGCCGATCACTTTCGATTTGCCTCCGATCGGGGGGGTTTGTCGGAAATTTCTTAAAACTGTTGCCGAACGGAAAATTGGGGCTCTATATACATACTCAACTGGCTGACAATCGATCCACCCCCCCAGGTCGGCAAAATGTAGTGTGGAAAGACGCCAAGATGTGCCATTCTTTGATACATAGTATACCTAGTTTAACACAAATAAATAGTCTAATATGTGGCTGTTGTGCTGGTTGATAAGGGCCAAATTTTATCTTCATTGTTTTACAAAAAGGAGCACACTCCTTTTTGGTCTAGAATGGAAAGGACATAGGTAAGAAATATTATTAGTAGTATTAAAATTATTCTTAATATTTAAATATTGTTTAGTAATATAAACACAAATATATTTGTTTACTCCCCATATAGTTAATTCTGATGTAATTAAAAATCAGGGAAACAAAAAACAATTTAACTACCAAAGGTATCAATTCATGCACCATTTAACAAAAAAAATAAAATTCAGGATGCTTTTCAATGAGGTCATGCAGACTGTGCAGTACATACTGTATATACATACATGCATACACAGTTCTCCTCACCTGATACGTAGACAGGAATTTTGGGATCCACGTTGCTGTAAGCATGGTCGAAAATTAATGCGAAGGCAAGCAAGGTAATCATTTTTTTATGCACCAAGGGGCCTCTTTGCTGAAAAAGAATAAATATGTATGAAACGTCAGAAAACTGGATTCAATGCACAGATGTATTTCTTTTGTGGTTGGCAGCTTTTACAGCTGCAAATCTGAGTGCTATTGAAAAGCTAGGGCTCCCCTGAAGACCCTCTTAAGTGCTTTTACTTCAAACAATCCTGGATCAAAAAACACCCCATTCTCAAACAAGCGATTGTGGAGATAGAATTTCTGCAGCGAGTGAGGCTCATTTTTTTGTGTCCATATGGTTTACTTAAATTTAAAAACTGTGAAAATGCCAAAGCCAAAGACTGAATTTATAGCCTTGTCATCCGAGTGGAGGCCATATATTTTGGAGGCTCAAGAGAGAAGCAAAGCCATCAGCTGAACCAATTGATGGTGAGACTGATTCAGCAAGTTACAGTAGATGGGCCAGGAAATCCTATATGACGAATCAGGGTTTGCTGGGAACGTCTGGTTGAAAGTTTGGTAAAAGATGAATTCAACGCACACCTCCAGGGAAAAAGAAAATTCTACCATGTACCAAATGACGTCAACATGGTCAGGGCCTCTTGTTATCGCAGAGGTTGTAAACAGCTGCGGCTACAGCTGCCTGTTATGGAGCTAACTCTGGGACCCACTGGAGGACACCTCTGGCGAGGGAAGATATCAAGTTGAAGAAGGAGGCCTTCATGGAATGTTTGCACATGGGTCTCCTGAGCCCACTGAAAGGTACGGACATGCCAGAAAGGCTGGAGCAAAAACAGTTACATAGGCCAAAGCCGGTGCATATGAGGAGTATTGAGAAGCAATGGAGAGTTTCCGAGATGGTTTGGAAAACCCAGAGATGTCTCAGGAGGGGCAGGTGAAGCCTTGCTCAGGGTGTTTAGCTGGGATAGGGAAACTCTATCCAACTTAGAGGAGATTCCTAAGTAATGGAAGGAACATTTTGATCTCCTCAACTCAGTGACATGCCCTCTTACAAGAAGGAAAACATCTAGTGTATCAAAGTCTAGAGTCTATCACTGGGGCTGAAGCCTTTATGGTGATCAGTGGCTATTTTGGTGGACATGCTGCAGGGGAAGATGAAATCTGTCCATTTGGTCTTGTTAAAATTGTGTACGAATTTGTGTCTACATGCCTGGTGCAAAACTTCAGCCATTCAGAGGGTACAGTATGTTAACCTCCGTCAAGGGTATAGTTTGCCTCCACATCCATTCATGATTTTCATGGACAGGATACCAAGGCAAAGTCGTGGCTGGATGGGCATCCGATATGGACGGCTAGAGGTACCATCACTTCTATCTGCAGATGACGTTGTGTTTGAATGATTCAATGTCAAGCGTGAAGCAGAAGGGTTAAGAATAAGTACCTCCAAATCTAAGGCTATGGTGCACTCTGGATTACTTCTTTCGGGTGAGGGGAAATAGTCTGTCCTTAGTGAAGGAGTTTAAGTATCCTGAGATACTTAAATTCTCAATTAAACCCCGTGTTTCCCGATCGCTTGAGTATTGTCCCTGCTTCCCCGGTCCCTGCGCGGCAGATCGTGATAACCCTTTGTTTCCACTGAGAGACGTGCCACGTGACTAATTTCCCCGCGCATACAAGTTATCTTAGGTCGGCGTTCATAGTTCGACTTGATTCAGATCGAGTTCTAGGTATTTTTTTTTTCAAACTGGTTGGTCGACTTTTTAAGAAATTCGAGTTCTAATGAATTTGAGAACTGAGGTACCACTGTATATATATTTTGCAGCCTGGCTCTTCCCTGCTTCTCACTGATGAAGGGCTTCTTCCTTGCTTTATGGAACTTCAGTCCTGTGTCTAGGAGCCTGATATGAACTGTCCTATAGCAGTGCAGTTCACCACCACTTTTTGAAGGTCACTTGTGATGTGATGTGATCCTCCTATTCATGAGAAACTGTTGGATAAGTGAACAGTTATGTCTGGCATGAGGAAGTTACTTGTGCCCCAGGGGCATGAGTATGTGTGTGTGTTTGTGTATCCTTCTGAATTGTGACATAAAACAGGCAGCACATGTTCAGCCAGTAGCAACCATTGTTTTAAAAAAAGAACTAACATATTTGTTACTTCTGTTGTTGCTGGCCATCTTTCAGGGCTAACTGTGCGGTGTGTTGTCCATCTGTTTTAAATCAGTTAACATGATTGGTTCATTGTGCTGCCATTACTTAGCACTGCTTCTGTCTTCATATACCATTTCCCATCCAAGTTTTAGCATGTGAATCAATCTCATATGTGTACGTATAGTGGCAGTATTCTTTGTAGTTATATTCACCAAGACATACCAAGACATTATGGACAATTCTGTGCTTCTAACTTTGCAGGAACAGTTTGGGGAAGGTCCTTTTTCTGTTCCAGCATGACTGTGTCCCCATGCACAAAGCAACATCCATATAAACAGGTGAGTTTGGTGTGGAAGAACTTCACTGGCCCGCACAGAGCCCTGACTTCAAACCCATCAAACACCTTTGGGATGAATTAGAACAGAGATTGCGAGCCAGGCCTTCACATCCAACATCGGTGCCTGACCTCACAAATGCTCCTCTGGATGACTGGGTAAAAATTCCCGCAAACATACTCCAAAATCTTGTGGAAAGCTAGGCCTTTTCAGAAGAGTGGCCACTGTTATAGTTGCAAAGGCGGAGCAACTCCATATTGATGCTTATGCATTTAGAATGGGATGTCATAAACGTTCCTATGGGTGTAATGGCCAGGTGTTCCAATGCTTTTGTCCATATAGTGTATATTTCAGCTGCTTATCCAGTAGAGGGGCATTTGGAACTCCCTGTACAGGAACTCAGTCTTCCATCTGCTTATCCAGTGGAGGGGCATATGGAACTCCCCACACAGAAACCTAGCCATTTTCAGGCTGCTTATCCAGTAAAGGGACCTATAGAACTAGCTGTACAGGAACTCAGTCTTCCAGCTGGTTATCCAACAGGAGTGGGATTTGTGATGTGAGGCAACAATGTTACCCATAAAACCACTGCGGCACCCATTTTCTGTAAGCTACTAATAATTAAAATAACTGCATACAGTAGCAGTCCCAAAGTGATTTTACCATCCACACTGTAACATATACACTGCGCTTCCATAAAAATTATTTCAACAAACATCAATTCAAAATTAGAAAGATGTCATATGCTATCCCCTTGAAATATAGCCTGCCAAATAATATTGCCTGCAGGGCTATTTGGCTGAACAGATTGCACTTTATATTTTCCAGTAATACAGTAGGCCTAGATGATGAAGAAACTGGAGGTACTAGTCAGTTTATTGAAACAGACAGTGTTTCCTGTTTTTGCATGCAGCTAACAGATTTTTCACAAATCTCATTACAGCAGTCATAAAATCAAGCTAGTAAACAATTTCATTTGCAAAAAAATGTTCAAAGAAACTAATGCTATCACCCAAACTTTCATTAAAAAAACATTTTAAATGATACACAGACATGAATCAAACTAACTAAATCAATCCAATGATAATTAGCTTGTGTCCCACAGTTTTTTCTGAATATTGTATAAGTTTATATTGATTTTTCATTGCTAGCCTCCCTGTTTTATACATAGCGGTCCGGGAGCTAGTCAGCGAAATTTATTGTGAGATAATTTAATTGTCTCTCTTTTTTTTGGAGGGTTTAGGAAAGTGCATAAGGTAGACTTGTAATAATATTTCCTTCAGACTGTGGTATTTTCATTCAGCAAAATTTATCATGGGCAAACCCTGGCCTGGCTAAACTTACTGTATCATGGGGGAATTCATTTGTGTTACTTAGCCCTAGTTCAGTCCAGCCTAGTCAATGGTAGCACAAGAAAGAAAAGGCACAGATCTGGTGAACTTAATTACATTAAGACAAGTCGCATGAAGCACTCCAGGGTAGCCAAACAAATGACTTTACCGTGCACTCGGACTCCAAGCTTTGCTCTCAACTGTGTATATATGTGTGTATGTGTGCGTATGTCTGAAAAGGTGAGTAATTAACCATGTTTAACCATTGAGCTCAGCCATTGGACAAGATAAAGTCACTTGTTTGACAAGCACCTTGTTGTTCTGTGAGTTAGGAAATGGTATAGCCTACTCTAAGTGAAAGAGCCAAGAGTTAAAAATACTTTGATTATGAATACTGTTTTTATTGATTGTATCCCTGCTATATACTGTAATTTTGCATTGCATCAAGAGTGCAGCTGTAGCTCAACAGATTGCTAATGCAGAGCTCTTGGGTTTAAATTCTAGGATGCACACAAATTGTAGCCCTTTCCTTTATTGTAAGTTTTTTCGGATAAACGTATCAGTTAAATGTACATTTGGCACACAAAAATAAATAAATAAACAAACAAACAAATAAGTACATAAATAAATTGTTTGTGCCCACGGTGCCAGGCAGTGAGCGCAGGGCCCACTAGAGGGCGTCGGGCCCTGAGGCCATCCTCATGAAGTCTGTTTATGATTGTTTGGTCAGAGACATGCACACCAGTGGCCTGCTGAAGGTCATTTTGTAGGGCTCTGGATCTTCTACGGCCCTGTCCAACTCTCCTAGAGTAACTGCCTATCTCCTGGAATCTCCTGCATGCCCTTGAGACTGTGCAGGGAGACAGAGCAAACCTTCTGGCAATGGGATGTATTGATGCACCATCCTGTAGGAGTCGAACTACCTGTGCAACCTCTGTAGGGTCCAGGTATCGCCTCATGCTACCAGTAGTGATACTGACTGTCGCCAATGAAAAACTAGTAAAAACAGTCAGAAAAGATGAGGAGGGAAAAATGTCAGTGGCCTCCGCCTGTTAAACTATTCCTGTTTTGGGGGTCGTCTCATTGTTGCCCCTCTAGTTCACCTGTTGATAATTTCATTAACACCAAAGCAGCTGAAACTGATTAACAACCCCCTCTGCTACTTAACTGACCAGATCAGTATCCCAGAAGTTTAACAGACTTGATGCTATACTCTGTTTAAAAAGTGTTCCTTTAATTTTTTGAGCAGTATGTAACTGGATTGTGCAATAAATGTTTATGTAAAAACACATTTATTAATTTTCACATTTCCAGGGGATCTATCAAGTACTTTAGAAAATCTACATATTTCTGAGTGTGGGACTAGTACGGAGCAGGTGCCAGGGCTGTCCGGGGAACACAGTGTCGTCGTTTCAGACAGCCCCCTTTTCTAGTTCTAGTTTTCTAGTCTTGTTTTTTAAATATTAGCCTACAACAATAAAGCTATCTTATATGATTGAGTAAGATAAGAGATTCTAGACCCACAGCTGCTTCTGAGATACTACTAATAATAATAAGCCATAATTATTTCAAATCTGAAGGAACTACAAGCTGAGTCATATCTTCATTTTTTAGCTACATAAACACAGGCAACAAGTACTGAAAATCTGTCAAACTTAATTTCCTTGTTGTTGTTAATGTCCTTTTTCCTATTTAAGGAGCATACTGGAACACAAGTCTGCAGACTACAAAATTAAAGTTTTTTTTTCATATTTCTAAATGAGCATTTAGCATTTTACTAGGGTTGGGTAGTGGCACACATGCCCCGATTCCATTCTATTTCGATTCACAAGCTAATGATTCGATTCAATTCTGATTCGATATGCAGTGTCACTGGAAACAAACTGTTAAAACCACTGAAGAAAGGCCAAAGACTTCTATACTTAAATATTTTTATTCAAGGTATGCTTACTTAAGAACAAAACCAACCTGTCTCTTTCAAAGCACAACAACTGACTTCTGACTGAAAAGAGTAGCTGAAAATAATAATGGCAAGTCTATCTAAAAGTCACATGCCATGTTTCAGAAGCACTTTACCTTAAAGATACATACCAAGACATTAATTAGAATCTTTTATATGAGGAACATATGGGTATTATTTAGAGCTGGGAATTGGCCCTGACCTCACAATTCAATTCACAAGTGCCCAATTGTATTTACTTTAAATTCTATTCAATCTGTGTTTTAGACACATTTATTAATGTGCGATCAAATCAGATCTGTTATAAAAACAACAATAGGCACAGCACTGTATCATTACCATTTGAAAGCAATGTAATTTATTCTTGTACATGCCCATGAATATACCAAAATATTTCATCCACACTTTTCCCTCTGCAGTTCTTAAATAAATTTTACCTTTAACTTGTAGTCATTTTCACTGCATTGAGTTACCCTTAACATTTAAAAACAGGTAATTCACAATATTCTCATAACAGCAGGTCACGTTGAATAATATGCATTTTCTCTTTACATTGTTTGCTTTTATTTCATTTTATTTGTTTTGTTTTCATATAAATGTTATTTTGCGGAAATGGAAGCATTGTACTGAATATGACTGGTGTGAGAATAACGCCCTGCATGACTTGACTTGCTTGCATTCACATGCTCGGAGTATTCCATTACCATGATTGGCAATGCACCAAGATGGCGGCATGAGGCAATTGCGCAATACTATTGCAACCCTCCATAGGTGAGAGAGAAATCACCTATATGATATGAGAACCGATAAAAAGGTAAGTTGATCCATCCTGGGATTTTGTGAATCGATATCGAATAGTCAAAACCAGAATCGAGATTAATCATAAAATCAACAATTTATACCTTCTCAGCATAATTCTGAGCTATTCAGGGTCATTGAAAATAATGAAGAAGAGAGATATCAGCTCTAAGCATTGTCAAGGCAGCATATGCACAGATTTATGCAGATTAGGCTCATTATAGTTTTCTTTCCTTTTTCATCTTAGTGCCTCAGTATGTACAATAACTGACTAACACCCAGAACAGCATTTAATGTTTAAGCTGCCACTGCCAGCATTTACAATATCTTGCAGTTATGTACTGCCTGCATTAAAGGCAAAGGCTATTGTCTGAAATAACCACAGTTCCAATTTTGTTTTCAAATATCCTAAATCATGATCCAATTTCACTCAGACTCCGAACAGGAGACTAGAAGATGGATTAGCCATTTCTTGTCCCTAGAAGCCAGAAGCAATTACATAAGGCCCTTTTATGGAGAATTTCATTAATGCTAAGGAGTAGTGTTTTGTACATTTTAAATGACTGAAATCATACAAGTCAAGTAAGATTTCTGTTATTGTAACCACCAATAGTCAAGTGAAACACGAAGAGTTTTTAGTTGTTTTTTCTTTAAAGACACATGCACAAGGTTTTAATTCAAAATGATTGCTGACGGTGCAGTCATTCTTCAGTGGACTACATTTACACAAACAGATGCCTCTGTGTCATTTTCTCCTCTATCCTGTCTGAAGACCCTGCCTGCCCTGAAGAGATGGCATGAAATGAGCACCATTCTCAACAGCAGACTCTGTGTTAGCTTTTTGCTAAACATTCTGGAATATAATCTGAAATACCTCAGTCTCATGAGACATGAATACTTTGTCTGCCATGAAGTCCCACAGCTCTTTGATGAGCTGTCATCCATCTTGGAGTGCCAGGCTCACCTAGACATGGTCACCTAGATTTCTATCATCCACCCACTTATCCTAGTTAGGGTCATAGGGGAACCTGCAGTCTATCCCAGGCAGCACAGGGAACAAAGCTTGATTTGTTTGGCATGGCAGTATATCACTGAGCACATATATACATACGCATACATACAATTATTCTACATGGGGAATTTGAGAGAACGATCAGTTGCATAACTTCCTGTCTTCGGGCTGTAGGAAGACCCTACACAAGACAGAGAACAGGCAAACGGCAGACATACAGAGTGGAGGATTCAAACCCTCCACCTGAGGATGTGTGTGGTAACTCCCGTACTCACAGAATCGCCATGATACACAAAGGATGGGCCTGACTGTTTGCATACCAAGCACAATAAAACAGCAAAACAGAACAATTACATCCCATTTTAAATGGGATGTATATACTAATCTAACCAGTGTGTTATAGTTTCCAAATTTTAATCCATTCAGAAATCTGGAGCTTTTTCTTTCTGTGATAGTTACCGTTAAATGTTACTACAAATCGTCCCCTAGAGGACATCCTCAGTTTTACGCTTTTACGTCCAAGGTCCATAGTAAATAATATACACTAATCAAAGCGGAGGTAGTAGGACCTTAGCAGGTGTATCGCTTAATTAGTATAACTGCTGTAACTGGTGTAGGAGAATGACCCACTCTCTATACCTAACCTGATACAGTATGCATGCAGTAATGTATATGTAAAGCACAGGTAGAATATCGAGATACGTCCAAATTGACTTGCATATAGTGGTCCTGGTTTGAAATACGAACGCTAGTCGACCACGGCTGTACTATTGTGAGATTTTTTTATTTTAACTTTAAATGCTCCATTCAAAATGGCAAAGTCTTTAAGTTATTTTAAGATCTTCAAGTCTCCCCACATTACGTCCGTCTTCTGTTACATTTTTGTTAAATGTTCAGTTCAGAATAACCACCATGTGCTTAAAACTGTTTAAATCTCTCATTCATACCAAGCGACCGCCTGGCTAAACCGTTTAATGCGAGTCTCTCTGAACAGCCTGCGCCTTAATATAGACCCTTTCAGTTTTAAAACTGATAGATGACACTCATTTCTACACAGAACTGTCAATCAAATTGAACATCTTCTTAATCGTGACGTAATTTTACTTTACAAAAGTCCTCAATTAACTGGCAATTCTTTTCATAGAAGCGAATCCTGTATATGTCCACAGTATAAGTTTCATTATTTATATAATCGCAAATAAATTTCATTACCTCCTCAGACCAGCGACAAATGATACGATTTGTGTTCATTTTGATGGAAACATTAATAATGTTAATTTGGAAAAAAGAAAATCCATTTAAAGTCCATTTAAATATGCATATTAAAAAAATTCATACTTATGCGGACGCAAATATTAAACTTTAATATTGTTTTGTCCTGATGCATAGTTATATAAATTAAAATGCAGCTGTGTGTTTAATCACTGAATCTGTCAAGGTTTAATTAATCCATTGATCAAGAAATGTTTTCATAGGTCTATTTGTGGTTGGTCTGATTCGATAGCATCATTGGTATAAATTGTCACGATTCTCATCAAGAAACATTTTTAAGTTTCAAACAGGTTGATATCGCCACTTGCAGGAAGTCGCTAGAATTTAAAGGAGGGAGGAATCTCGCCTGAAAGCTTTCAAATACTGCATAGTTATGCAGTGAAATGGTGTGGAAAATGTTAGCCTATTTGTAAAACGAATTCGTATTAAAAACGTAAATAAAAAATAATAAAAAAAAACATGCCATTCTCGGATGTAAGAACATCACAATATAATTATTTACTGATTATTCCTTAAATCAGTGCAATGAAGTGGCTAACTTTGATTAGTGCATGAGAGTCTACAAGATTTGGCCTAGGCTACCCATATGTAAAAAATATTTTTGTATATTTTTACATACATTTTCTCCTTGATGACGGAAGTCACAATATAATTTACACCAGAAACAAACTTAAATGAATGTGTGGTCAGCTTACCTGCTAAATCCGCCTGTCCGGACTGAGTAAAAACACTGCGCCGAGTGAGTAACCGGACTTGCTCATATGTATAGTAGGTCACACGTCATAGACAAAAAACTACAGTACGTCCTACGGCAATCGTTGCTACTCTGATTAATTCGTACAACAGAAGTTAACTAGCTTAAATATAAGCTAGATATATGATTAGCATTGGTTTGTTGTGATAGGTGTCACGTAACATCCAGTTACGTGTCTGGTCACCCATAAACTCTATTTTAAGAGCAGATGTAGGAATATATAGAAACACGTTATTTGGCTGTAGTATTATTCTGTGGTCGTTGTAATCGATAATCAAAGTGTTATAAATACATATACTCTGAATATATTAACGATTTATTAGCAGATGTAAATCCCATAAAACGCTTTTCACCTTAACTGACCATAATCTACAGTATCAACTTAATACAGAAGTTCCTTCAAGCAAGCAGGCAAAAGGCATTTGCTTGTGGTAATCACCACAGCACTGTAAGCATGAGGCTTGTATAGGCTTGCTTTCTTAATCTTTATATTAGATTGTGCATGTATTTATACTGTGCACATATTTAAAATGCCTGGAATCTGCATTAATAAGTAACAAAATACAGTTTTACATCAGTTTAACAAATTACAAACATCAAAATTGTGCTTACATCTTTTATGACAATATGAATATGTTGAAATTCTTTTAATCTGGCGTACAGCTCAGCAGGTAATTGGAGCTACGTTATGCTTGTGTGGGGAAGGTCACCTGATTGGATCCTGCGGTCAGCACAGCAGGCATATCACTGTTGGGTCTTTGATCATGGCCCTTAACCCCAATTGCACCAGTAGTACTGCATACTGGTCAACCTTGTGCTTTTGACCCTTAAACTGTAGAACAAAATGGGATGTATGAAAATCCAAGAATTCCAGTGGACATACTTTAAATACATAAAGCAGGCAATGTGTATAATTCAGTCTTTATCTGCTTCTCTGTACATTTGAAGAAAGAATTGAAATTTATCATTCTGCAAGAAGTTGTAATTAAATTATGATGTATATCCCACTTATCCTGCATAGCGTCTGGGTGGTAATGTAGGGCACATGCCAAGGGACAACATGGAGGGAATAGTAGTCTGCAAGGGTAATCCCACACAATACTGGGAGAACATGCAAACTCCTTTTTAAACCCCCAACTATGGTGGTATGAGATGACAGCACACCACCAGTAAAGGACTGTGAAGGATTTCTTTAAAAGTTAGCTACAGTACTGCTTCTGATATTACATAGCATTTTAAAACATCAACAGCAATTTTTCAGTAATATTGTAATTAAAAATCGTTAAGGTTCTTTTCTCACAGTGAAATGTCTTTGTATCATTGAACTTGTATTACACATACACACATATATACTGTGCACACACACACACACGCACACATATACACACACATATACACACTGTGTATAGTACAATATAGTACAGAGATATGAATTTTACCTTTTCTTTTTTTACCTAATCTTTTCAACTATACAGTTCTGTTGCTGCAGAGTACATTTTTAATGTTAAGATGTGGAATAAACAACATAATTCTTATTCTGTGGTCTTTGGGAGAGGAACAGAAAACACTGCAATAGACAAGTGTTGGGAAGAAAAAGGGGGAAACTAGAGACATATAAAAACAATCTGAGGCTGCTGTTAGTTACCAGCACATCTTGAGCAAACTCAGCTGGCAACTAAATTAAACATTACAGCAGCTTGTTACAATCAATAAAGGCACATTGTAGATACAGCTGTGAAACACAGATGGGTATTAGGCTGACCAGTGTTAACGTGACTACAGAGTTTAAAGAAAAAAAACATTGAGCCTTGTTCGATGTTTGATGTTGCTTGGTTGAATTAGAAGGTCACCTAATTATTATTTTTCATGCCACATTAACCTCATTGTGTTTAAATGTTACCATTTTAATTTTTCGTGATTTAAAATGGTGCACATCCCCTTGACCTTGCACTGGATATGTGGCTGGTAAAATTAAAATGGTATTTATGGGGAAAACAAAGCAATTGTTCTACTAATGTTGCTATTTTTTCCTGGGGTAGGCTTTATATATTAAGCATTCATAGGTACAACAAGATAAAGTATGCATAGGAAAATAAGGCTTTACAATAACATCCCATGGTTATTATTTGCATAAGGAACTAAATAAGAAACCAATTAAATTTTTCAAAAAATGTACAATGTCAATCACAAAAGATTATGTTCCTCCTTTACTCTGCAGCTGTGTCAGACCTCTAATATACTACCTTTCATGGGAGTAAGTCTGACTACTGTTTACAATCTTCAGACCACACAATGCAACCATTTTTAGCATGTATATGCATGCATGTTTCCTCTAGTATAGTCATTTAGACCTGACAGTTGCAGTGAATGAAGGTATCTGTCTCAGAAGGAAGGCCGAAAGCCCAAAAAGTGAGTTGTATATTTCCAGAAGGATTGGTTTATTTTGGGAAATTATTTCTCTTATGGAGCTCCCCACAGTGCAAGATGGGCATTTGCATGTTTCAGGATAAAATGGAAAACAAACTCCTAATGATCCCATGTTGTACTCTTGAGTGCTTTAGATCCTGCATTCTGTAATCTTTGTTATGACACTTTAATCTTTCTGTCAATGCTATTGACAGTGCGTTCCACAATTCTTGGCACCCCTTGTAAAGATTTGTAAAAAGGATTAGAAAAAATCCACCTTTTGGTGAAGTAGCTTCATCTCACACTGAAAAAAAAACATGGAAAATCCAACTTTTCATTGAAATAAATTAAATTAAAAAAATAAATCTGTCATCCAAAAATAATTATTTTTTAACAAGAACACATGTGCACCCCTGGAAATAATAGTGAACATGTAACTGAAGCATGTTTTACCTGTAAATTGTACATCTTTTGAGTTGATTGGTGAATAGGAACCTTCAAGCTGTAATCCATGACTTCCTGATTAACTGGGGTACAAACATGAGGTGACACAGAGGCCAAGCGCCCTTAGTCATCCATTATGGAAAAGATTAAAAAATACACAAACCAAATGAGGGAGAAGTGTGTTGACTTTCATAAGTCAGGGAATATTGGACATGAACTGGAACTCTTACAAACCTGCCTGGAAGAGGACCCAAGTTTATTTTGTCCCCACGTACAATGAGGAGGATTGTAAGAGAGACAAAAAAATCCCCAAGAATCACTTGGAGAATTACAAGACAAAGTAAATTATTGGGGTAACCAAGTCTCAGAAAAAAACTATCAGATACTACCTTCACGCTAACAGATTATTTGGATGGTATGCAAGGAAGAAGCCTTTTCTGTCAGTCAACCACAAATGTAAGCACCTGGAATTTGAGAAATGCTACTACTACTTTCACTGGAACAATGTTCTATTGTCTGAAAAAACAAAAATGGAGCTTTTTGGCAATAACCATTCAAGGTAAAAAGAAGGATGGCTGTATGAATTAGTATAATAAAATATAAAATGTTGTCAAATGTTATAGGAGAAGCCTCTGTGCTGTTATACTGTTATACAAAGTATTAAACGATGGGGTGCCAATAATTGTGGCATGTGTTATTGTTGAAAATAATTATTTCTTGATGCAGGATTTGTTTTTCTTTGATTAAATTTATTTCAATGAGAGGTTGGATTTTTCTCAATTTTTCAGTGTGACATGAAACTACTTCACCAAAAGATAGATTTTTTCTAACTTTTTACAAATCTTTTTTGTAAAATCTAGATTTGGAAAGTCATTAACAAGAAAGAATGCACTAGACATATTTAATTGCATGTAGAAACTTTACAATGTAAACATTAACTGGGGCTTTTTTTAGATACATTATTGCATTGTTTTATTCTATACTTATAAACCCAGAGCGATTCCAGAAATATATGATTATCTGGGATGATGAGGCACAAATCATCAGAAACTGAAAATCAGCTTGTCCTTATGTCTTCCAAACCTTTAAACCTCTGCATATGGAGTAAAGACATTCATCAAAATTTTTCATACTAGTTTTCACTTTATACCTGTCAGTGTGATTTATTATAAGCTATATTTCATTGTTGTTGTATCTGCTCACAACTGTGTTTCTTGCAATGGTAAAGCTTCTGTTAAAAATTCCTTTTTATTTGTCAATAGGCAATTTACTGCCAGGTTTGGATATTATCTTTTTGCAATGCAAAATTCATTCTACTACGACTAAAAAATTAAAATATTTTTTATTATTAAGGGCATACCTGTTAATTTTAGCAGTTTCACTTTCAATTTTCAATTTCAAATTCATTTTAGTAGAATATGATCAGTGTTAATGCAGACCCAGAGGAAAGAGGATGAAGGTGCTTAATTTTACTGCTTTCAGTAAATGAGTGACAGGTCTTACATTTAACAGAAACCAGATGACTTTACAGTAGTAAATGTCAAAGAGAATGGTAAAAAGGGCAATCACACAAAATGGAAAATCCTTTATTATAATGACAACTGAAGAAACAATGGTGATGAGAAACTACACCAAATTAGAGCTCTGCATAGGATAGCCCTACACCTGTTTGGAAAAGGAAGAGGGTTGGAATTAAAGATTCTTGTAGTGAAAACTGAAACACCAATGAAGTACTTCAAAAGAGGATTGACGGAAATGACCCAGAGGAGACCAGATGCAGCAAAAAAATCTGCTGATGGAACTTCCTTCACTGAAAGGATAGGATACTAGATTATGAGAAAAGGGTAAGCAGAGCACATTGCACAAGAAGTGGATAAATACCATCTAGACCAGTGTTTCTCAAATGGTGGGCCACCAAATAATTGGGAGGAATCGCAAGATCATTTAATGAATATGAAAAAATCCATCGTCGGGGAATTTGATTATGTTAGGTGTGGTATTTTCATACTCAAAAAGTAAAATAAAATAAGCAAATATTATTAATAGAGACCTATAGTTTTCCTTGCTGGTTGTAAACAACATGAGAGCTTATGTTTCCCAAAATTCACAGCTAAAATAAAAATATTGTTAGTTTTTCCAAGGGAAGTAATTTCATTTAAAAAAAAAAA